AATGGTGAGACCTCTGAACATCGCGAAGGAAAAATTATATACCTTCTGACCCAGGCTTTTCGCACCTGCGGTCCAAATCCCGCTCCTGCGGTCCCGCTTCTGCGGCCAAGACCACCGCATTTGTGGTTTTCACTTAAATGACCAATACCGCATCTACGATTAAAATCTCGCACATGCGCTACCACAGGTGCGCCCTCTTCATCATTTCTGCGGTTCCAGCTGCTCGCCTACTTGGCCGCATCTGCGGCTGCCTTCCGCTTCTGCGGGCATCGCACCTGCGGCCTCCTAACCGCAGGTGCGGTTATGACAACAGCAAAAATACTTCAGCTATCAAACTCCACTCCAAACCTTCCGTCAACCATTCGAAATCACCCCGAGGCCCCCGGGACCTCAACCAAAAGCACCAACAAGTCTTATACTACCATCCAAACTTATACCAATCTTCAAAACCCCTCAAAAAACATGAAATCAACCAAAACACATCGGATTCAAGCCTAAGGTTCTCAAAATCTTCCGAATTACGCTTTTGATCAAAAAGTCCACCAAACCACGTCCGAATGACCTAAAATTTTGCACACACATCCCAAATGACACAATGATCCTACTGCAACTCCCGGAATTCCATTCCGACCCCAATATCAAAATCTCACCTATCAACCGGAAAACACCAAAATTCCACTTTCGCCAATTCAAGCCTAAATCTACTACGGACCTCCAAAATACATTCCGATCACGCTCCTAAGTCTCAAATCACCTCCCGAAGCTATCCGAACCATCAGAACTCACATCCGAGCCCTCTAATACATAAGTCAACATCCGGTTGACTTTTCCAACTTAAGCTTCCTCAAAAGAGACTAAGTGTCTCAGACCTTACCAAAACCTTCCCGAACCCGAGCCAACCAACCCGATCATACATAGAGCCGATAAACAAAGCAATAAGGAGCAGAAATGGGGGAAACAGAGCGATAACTCATGAAACGACCGGCCGGGTCGTTACAAATAGTTTTGGATCGTCGGCTCCAATTTGGAGGTTTGAGTGCATTCTTGAATTGGGATATAGGCTTCGGAGTGAGGTGAGTCTCCTTTCTAACCTTGAGGGAATTGTCTCCATAGGTGAATTAATTGGATATGTGCTCCTATTTGTGGGGGCTACGTACGCACGAGTTGACGAGAGTCCGTGCGTAGCTGCTATTATGCTTATGTCCGGGTAGTCTAGGGCCCAAAAGCATGCTTTACTTGTAATATTTGCAACATTGTTGTCAGCTTAAAAATGCTTAAAACATATCGAACGTATAAATAAATTTCTAAAAGGCTAGACATCATTTCTTGACTTTTAAAAGAGAAGCTTGCCTTTTCCTGAATAATTGCTACTTGATGAATTCTTGATTTGACTGTTTGAATGTGTTTATCTATTGTGGAACGGGCCGAACGCCTTGGTAGATTAAATAGATGCATCTATGGTTCGCGACATTCGACCCTCTGGCAGTGTACAGTTTAAATATTTGTTGGATCGGGCCGTACGACCTCGGCATGATTTGCGCATGCTTGTATTGCTTGCCTTGAATTTTATAGATGTTAATATTTGTTTCTCCCTGGCCTGAGATAAATGTATAAATGATGAAAATGAATTTGGGAATTTCCTATAAACGAAAGAATTGTTTACTTGCCTCATGCTATTTGAGTTATAGTCATTTTTATGAAAATCCTCGATTTACTAAATTATTGGTATATTATCATTGGACCACTAGTAAGTGTCGAAGTCAGCCTCTCGTCTCTACTTCTTCGAGATTAGACGGGATACTTACTGAGTACACGTTATTTTTTGTACTCATACTACACTTGCTGTGTATTTTTGTTGCACAGGCACATATATGTCTAGTGGCCTAGTTGGGCGCGGCGGCATGGTTGATAGGGAGACTTAGGTGAGCTGCACCTCTCGAGACGACCCGCAGCTAGCAGAGTCTTTTTCAGAGTATTTACTGTATTTTTTTTTCTTTTCAATTTGTATTCTGGACAGCTGTTGTATTATATTATTTCCTAGAAATTGCGCATGCACTTGTGACACCGGGTTCTGGGATGATTATGGGGTATTCTGTATTAACTTCTAAATATTATTTTATTTATTTTGTAAAGATTATCTTTTACTAGCCAAATTGAAGAAAAATCATAGTTTTCACAATTATTTAAATGAGAATTTAATTAAGTATTTATGGTTGGCTTGCCGCCTGACAGTGGTGTCCAGCGCCATCACGACCCTTAGTGGATTTTGGGTCGTGACAGTAAGAATGCTCTTTTCTTGATTATTCCGTATTGAATTTCTTTTGAATTTGAGACAGATTTCTTTCCTAGAGCCTACATCAAGGAAGATGAAAGAATGTTGGATTTGCCATGATAGTGATGAAGATTCAAACATGGAGATTCCCTGCTCTTGCCGGGGAACCCTCAAGGTTTATTAAGCTAACGGTTTTACTTACTTGAAGCCCATGGATGCAGAGCAACAAAGAGAGTATGGTCACAAGATGGTGAATTTCATTGATGATTATTACAAGAACAATGAGAACTCATTATTCTCAATCAAGTTCAGGTTTTCACAACAACCTATCAATTTCTTTTTGTATCCTTACCATGCATTTGCCAAGAATTAGTTGCCCGTAAAAAAATTAGCCCTTGCATGACAGTGTTATTTTGGCAGAGTTTGTGGAGACTTAGCTAGAAAGGAGTGCTCCATTATATTGCGAATGAAATTAGTAAAGCTCAATCTTTTAATAGATACATTTTTACTATCCTAGCTGGTTGGTGATCAAATCATATATCATTGCTCATGATAAAAATTTATTTAGTTCCATAAGGATTTGAATTTGTAATATTTGTCACTATGGTTATTTTTTATGAAATTTGATTTATGTTGTAAGTTATTTGATAAAATTATTTCTTTAATCCTACAAATAAAAATATTCAAATAGAAAAAGAGTTTTCAATAATAAAATATATTGTGGCAGAAATAAACTGCCACTATTTTCTTAAAACACTAATATTATATTGTAGCGGTTATAAACCCTCACATAAATTTTTTTTAATAAAAATATTTGAATCATATTTTGGGGGTTTATAAACCCCCACAATATCTTTTTTGAACCATTATGATCATATTGAGGGGGTTTATAAACCCTCGCAGTATTTTTTTTTGACACATCAAAATCACATTGCGGGGGTTTTAAACTAGCACTGATTATCTTTCGAAACCCCTTCATAACTTTTTCTTAAACAAATATTTAAATCATATTATAGGGGTTTTTAAACCCCCACAATATCGTTTTTGAACCATTTTAATCATATTGAGGAGGTTTATAAACCCTCGCAATATTTTTTCTCGGCACATCGAAATTATATTGCGGGGGTTTTAAACTAGCATTAATTATCTTTCAAACACCCCACAAATTAAAAATTCATTTTGTATCGGTTGTCATGGAGGTTATAAAAACCAGCCGCAATAATGCTCGTGGCAAAGATAACTGCGGCACTTCTAGAAAACGTCACAATTTTTCTTGTGGGAGTCAAAAACCGTCACAATTTAACGAAAAAAACTCCCATAAAGTAGCTGTTTTCTTGTAGTGATATGAGAAAATAAACCATAGCCAGTTTGCATGCTATTGAAAGATATTTCTAGTGCCAAATACGCTTCAATTGAAAAGGTGGAGAGAACACAACAAAAAATGCATAGAACTAATTAATGATTTAGTTTATAATATGGCTATTCAAAAATGGGTGACGAATTTAAAGAAGTTCATGTACGTACCAAAACTCAGGAGAAATTTTATTGTGTGTCTCACACAATTTGGCTCCTGTTTGTCTCATAAATTTGTGGACCCCAATCTTACACTTCTGGGTCTACAAAAATCTGGGTCCACAAAACTGTGAGACAAAAAAATGCCTCATACAACTAGTGTCAGTTGTATGAGACACAAAATAAAATTTTCCAAAACCCAGGGAATACATAAAGAGAAAATAGTTTGAAGGTATAAATCCATTAAAACATTTCCATGGAGAAGGATTATAACTAATAAAAATAATTTTCATTTTTATAACATGTTATCTATTGTTTTCTAGTTTACTAAATTAAAATTAATTTTCTAGTTTACTAAATTAAAATTAATTTAAACAGTTTCCTCGTCATTTTAATGTAATGATTAACGTATGTACCTCAAAAAATGTAATAAGATTCTTTCAAGACCAAAAAAGAAAAAAATTAATTAGAGATCTTCAATTCAGCCTTAAGAATGCAGAAACTTGTACTCCATCTATTATCGTGAACTTATTTTCTTTTTAGTCCGTTTTAAAAAGAATAACTTCTTTCTAAATTTAATAACAATTTAGCTTAAACTTACAATTCTACTTTTAATGAGAAGCTTTTATAACCACACAAATACTTTGGGCATCTTTTTAACTTGTTTAGGACCACAAATTCTAAAAGTTTTCATTTTTTCTTAAACTCTGTACCCAATCAAACAGGTTCACATAAATTAGAACGCAGAAAGTAGTAAAAAGATATTCCCTCTCAATTTAAGCATGTGGCTCTAGTTCCTTGTTAGTGAACCTCAAAGGAATATCAATTTTTTTCTAATTTAAAAATAATTTATTTTTAAAATATCTATTACACTTTCAATGATTTGATTTACAGTTATATAAATATTTATAATTTATTTTAGATTATAAATTTCAAAAATCTTATTTTTTATTACACTTTGCATCCAATTAAATACCTACATAAATTAGATGAATGAAGTATATTTTTAAATGAATTTTGTGCAGTGCAAATTTAATACTATTGATTAGGTTAGAGAACTTCGGATAGAGATGAATCAAAAAGAAAAAAAAAATAAAAACTTGCGAGTCGATGTGGCAGCAAACAAGGACTTTAGGGTTGCATGATGGACATGTGGCAGCACTCTTGGAATTCAACCGCCTTCTATAGCTTCTTTACACAGTACTAATTATTTTTTCCGCAAACTGTAGAACCTTCAATTTACTATAGATAAACTATATTATCAAAAACTATAGTATTCTACGCAAGGCAAAGAAAAAAGAAGAAGATGCACTCTGCAAAGGAGAAAGTAAGCAACGCAACTGCCGCTGGCAAAGAGCATGTCGATATCCTCAAAGCCAAAGCTGAAGAAAAGGTCTGAATTAATACTCTTTAACTTAGTGTTTTCTTTCTATTTATGGAAATTAAATGTACAGGGTTTTTTCTGTTAACAGGTGGAGAAAGCAGCAGCAAGGACAAAGGAAGAGAAAACGATAGCAGAAGAGAAAAGGAAAGCAAAAGAAGCAGAAGCTAAAATGGAGCTGCACCAAGCCAAAGCTCGCCATGCGGCGGAGAAGTTGCACGCAAAGCAAGCTCATCTTGGAATTGGAGGGCACCACCATATACCACCTACGGTTGGAGGTCAAGGACACCATGATCCAGTGGGTACTACCATTCCAACTACTGGTACTGTTGCTCCTGCGTATCCTCTTGGAGGTTATCCTCCTCCTCACGGCCATATCTGAAGTAGTGGTTTTCTTAGTTATTGAGAGTGTTTTTTTTAATATTAGTGATGTCATCATATATAGGTGTAAAATTTGCAGCTTCAGTTGTACTTGGTTATTTAGATTTTATAAAATGAGATAGGCGTTTGATTATGCACAATGTTTGACTGGTAGATATATTGTTAGAAAGTAATGATATTTTTCGATTCGACAATGAACACTAAATGAAAGAGAAGAGGCAAATCAATTTTTTTACCCGATTGATCGGAGACTTATTTAGTAGGTCCTCCTTCCCTACAGAATGGAATTTCAGGCAGGGGCCGCTCAACAAGATCGGAGACCTAAAGCGAAAATTTAATTGGAGGCCTGTTTTGAAACAGAACCTTCATAAATATTTGTATTTGAAATCTATTTTTCTAGCTTTTTGAGTTATAGAATTATTAATAATTTTTTTTACAAATCATTTAATCACTCTTAGGATATTGTTGATCTAATTAGGAAATAAACTAGATTCAAAATGTTGATAACTTGATATCGAAATAATTATTTGATTTCAATATACTTGTTGTAATGCTTGAAACCTGCAGAGGAAAAAATTAAGAATGTGCAATAAAGCGTATTCAATGGAATTCTGCAGCTCTTGTTTTTTGTTTTAAAAAAAAATATTCTGCAGCTCTTGTTTTTTGTTGGAAAAAAACAATTTTTTTTTTACGAATCAATATAACTTATCGAAAACTTGAACTTTTGCAGAAATCAAGAAAGAAAATATAAGAGTGTAATACACTTCTGATGAGAAATATAAAAAATGAGATTTGGACAACTAGAGATACTAATATAGAAACTTTTAACTCTAAAAGTTTACTACACGTTTTCTAGTGAGAAATATAAAAAAGAGAAAGATAATGTAGGTATTTCACTAATAATGTTAATTGTAAATTGTAAATTACACCATTTTATATTTCGGGTAAGGATTTTAGGGGAAGTAATTCTCTTTCTTCAATTTTTGCTCAAACAATTATATCAATAACAAACTGAAAGTTGTCTTTATTTTTTATAAAAAATTTTACTTTTCTATTTTAATACTCAATATTTTTTTAAAAAAAATATTAAATTATAAATTTATTATTGATAAAAGTTGGGCTCCACCTCCACGGATTGTGGTGGGAGGGATACGATTTAACCTACTTTAATAAAATATTTGGGGTTTGAGCACTATGAATGATATCATGTTAGAATGAGCTTTAATATAAATTCAAATTAGTCACGATTTTAATACAAATACCGAACAGAGGTAAAAAATAAAAACAAAAAAATAAAAAAAAGAATTTGGGGCCCCAAAATGCTTGTGCCCAAAGCAATTGCTTTAACTGCTCTTCCAGGGCGTCGCCGGCCCTGATTCCAGGGCGTCTTGCTTAGATCGCATTTGCTTTTCCCCAATATATAATAAAAATAAATTTTTTAATTTTACTTACCATTTTACGCAAATAAGTATAATTTTTTTTCTTGTTATACCCACAATATTTTGTTAGTCATTTCAAATTATTTTTTTCAGATTCAATAAAATATGCATTAATATATATGAGTATCATGGTAAATTATGCACTTCATTTATTATTTTTTAAGGTACGTGAAAAGTCAAAACGTGCCAAGTAATTAAAACGTCCATATATAACAATCATTCACTATAAAAGCCTAGCTTTTCTCAGAATCGATTTTTTATGTTATATTTTACCTCTCTAAAACAACATTCTACCTATAACTGTAACCGCCACAACCGCCATCTTTATGACATTACGCTCCTTGTAAAATTATCCCTTAAACAACCATGCAGATTTTCTAAGATTATTAATAATAATAATTTTAAATATTTAAACAATTATTTTGTAACTTTAATGTAGAACTTATAATAGCTATATATATTATCTTAAGGGTAGCAGTATGTTCTATGAACGTATGGACACCAAATATTTTTTCATAACTAAAGATCTACAAATGATATATCTTGCATTAGAAAAATGCCAAAAGATATTTAAAAGATCTATTTATACTTTTTGAAGATATGCATATCATTCTTTTTTTCATTTGAAGATGTACACATGATATACCTTATATTGAAAATGTAATATGTAAACGTAATCTATTCGTATTTTTTAATTGTGTGCCTTAGAGTTTAAATATTTATGCATTTAATTAAGAATTTTTTAATAATGTATTAGATTTCTTGAGAATTTAATTCGTGATATATTTATATCCTTAAGATTTTGAATTTAAATATTTTATTAATTTTTTATATATAATATTTTAGAAGAAAAAAAATTATTTTTTGGATAATTTTTGTCTATAATAATTAAAATATATTTAAATACCAAATAATATTATAGATGTATAACAGTCATTCATTAGAAAAGACGAAAAATTTCGAAACAAACCATAAGTTTGACCGTAGTAGTAAGTGCTGAAGAGCACTTCCAATGGGTTCGCATTTCAAACTCTATAAAACAATTCCTCTGGCGAAAGATCAGTCTATTAAGTAATTGGATAAAACTTATCTACTTCATTTGAGGAAATTGCATGAATTTTGACATATATATATAAGGAGGTGCTGTTATGAGGGCAAAAAACATGAAATGGCAGGATCAGAACAAAGGAAAAGCAAAGATTAAAGAAAGTGAAAACCAGCGGAAATATGGCTGGATGGTTAATTCCTTACTAACATATAACTACTGTACGCTCCGTTCCAATTAATGTGGTAATTATTTGCTTTTTCTAACTTAAAAAATATGTGAATGTGATCTTAATTTAAAAAATATATTTTTCTTTGAGAAGAATTGTAATTAATAGTAATATTTATATATTATCATATAAATAATTATTTTAGTTTCTGCCTAGAAACAGATTATATACTAGCACTCCTTAAACATCAAATTATAAAATTGGGAATTCTCTAATGAAATAGGTAGGGGGTGTACAAATGAAACCGACAATTCACACCAATTCGATAATCCGAGCCAAACCGAGAAAAAATTCAGACTATGGTTTGGTTTGATTTGGTTTACCCGACAATATTTGGGTTTTGTAACGACCCGACCGGTCGTTTTGAGCCCTAGCGCGCCGTTCAGCAGTTTGAGGCCATGAGCAGCTCCGTTTCAGGCATTACGACTTGTACGCGTGGTCAGAATTGAATTTCGGGAAGTTCAGGGTTGATTCGGAAGGAGAATTCTCATTTCGGAAGCTTCAAGTTGAAAGAATTAACTAGGATTGGATTTTTGAGTAAACGACACCGGAATCGGGATCTGAAGGTTCCAGCAGGTTCGTACGATGATTTCGGACTTGGGCGTATGCCCGGATCGGGTTTTGGATAACCCGGGAGCGTTTTGGCGCCTATTTTGGAAGTTAGCATTTTGGAAGAAATTTCATAAGTTGGGATTGCAGTGCATTTCAGTGTTATTGATGTCCGTTTGGGATTCCAAGTCTGGGAGTAACTCCGTATGGTGATTCTGGAGTTGGGAGCGCGATCGGAAGTAAATTCGGATGCCCGTGGGTCATTTTGGGGTCATTTGGCTAAAGACAGAAATTTGAAGGTTTTTTTTCTTTCTTGAGAAGTTTGACCGGAGGTGAACTTTTTGATATCGAGATCGGAATCCAATTCTGAAAGTTGGAGTAGGTCCGTAATGTCGAACATGACTTGCGTGCAAAATTTGAAGTCAATCGGACGTGATTTGATAGGCTTAAACATCGGAAGTAGAAGTTTGAAATTCTAAAGTTCATAAAGCTTGGATTGGAGGTCGATTCGTGGTTTTAATGTTGTTTGATATGATTTGAGGCCTCGAGCAAGTCCTTAATGTGTTTTGTGACTGTTGGTATGATTGGTTGGGGTCCCGGGGGCCTCGGGTGGTTAACGGATCGAAAAATAAAATTTTGGAGATAGCTGAAGTTGCTGGTTGCTGGTATAACCGCACCTGCGAGACTTGGGCCGCAGGTGCGGAGCCGCAGAAGCGGCCTTCGTGCCGCAGAAGCGGAAATGGACGGTTAGGCTGGGACCGCAGATGCGGTCATTTTGCCACAGATGCGGGACCGCACCTGCGTAGGGTGAAGCGCAGATGCGGAAGCAGGAGGCTTGGGGGAAGACCGCAGAAGCGGCCATTGGTCCGCACCTGCGGGACCGCAAAAGCGGTCAATAGACCGCAGGTGCGAAAGGACTGGAGGCAGTGAGCTATCTTTAAAAATCGAGTTTAGGCTCATTTCCTCCCCTTTTTCACTCCGGGCTGGGCGATTTTGGAGCTTTTGGAAGGGAGATTTTCTCCATCTATGTCAAGGTAAGTTGTTCCCACTCATTAGACGCTAAATACATGGTTTTGCTTCGGATTTCAGCATGAAAATTGGTAGAAACTTGGGGTTTGAGGGAAAATCTAGAAAATTGATATTCTTGGATTTTGATCACGATTTTCGATATGAAACTGAGAGTAAATTATATATTTGAGTTCGTGAGGTTATGGGTAAACTTTATCTTCGAAAAATTTCGGAATCCGGCCACGTGGGCCTGAGGGCATTTTTGTCAACTTTTCGATCGGGGTTAGGGATTGTTATTAATTGGATTGTAATGAGTAATTGAGCATATATTAATAGATTTGCATAATTATTGGATAGCTTTGGAGCATTCGGCATCGATTCGAGTCCTCGGAAGGGCGTGGAATGCTGCTTATGGATCTTCGGAGCGAGGTGAGTCTCCTTTCTAACCTTGTAAGAGGGAATTGTCCCCATAGGTGAGTTAATTGGTTATGTGCTCTTATTTACAGGGGCTACGCACGCACGAGGTGACGAGAGTCCGTGCGTAGCTACTATTATGCTTAAGTCCGGGTAGTCTAGGACCCAGAAGCATGCTTACTTGTAATAAATGCAGCCTTGTTGATAAATTTAAAAATGCTTGAACGTGTTGAACGTGTAAATGAATTTCTAATAGACTAGATATCAATTCTTGACTTTTGAAAAAGAAACTTGCCTTTTCTGAATAATTGCTCCTTGATGATTTATTGACTTGACTATTTGAATGTGTTTATCTATTGTGGAACGGGCCGAACGCCTCGGTAGATTAAATAGATGCATCTACGGTTCGCGCCATTCGACCCTCTGGCAGTGCACAGTTTAAATATTATTGGATAG